TAGTATTTTATCAAACTTATGTGTTGCGTGCTCGAATAGTTTTATTTGTGTACAATTCATTGTGTTGCAAAACGAATGTTGACTGGTTACTCTTAAAATTTATTGATGTCTAAGAGTCTAGTAAAAAACAAAATTATAATAAATGCGATTAGTATTATTGAAAATAGTATTTTTTGTCTTATCGTCCTTAGTAGAATAGTTGAGTATTTGTGATGGTGTACCTAAAGTGACGCATTTTGACATGCCAGTGGAAAAATTGATTTTTACCAAAGTAAATATTAAGGTACAAATCATGRGAATTGGTACAATTTATTATCTTATTAATGGTTAAAAATAAAATTATAAAATTCGAATATTGGGGTCATGGGCAGTAAAYTAGTAACTCACCTGTAAAAATTGTATGATTATAGTCAAGACAGTTTTGGATTAATTATGTATATTGTAAACAAAATGATATATTATTCTGTGATAACATTAATTATTTGTTTCTTTGATGCAATATTAAAAGAAAAATAAACTTTATAAGAGTCCTAATTAGTAATTACAAATGTTAGGTCGGTATTAGGTTAATAGTATTGCAGTTTGAATTATTTTTTTAATTAGATTGTCATAAGTTAACAATAATGTATAAAACCACTACTTGCCCTAACACAAAATGTGTGGTTTTCATTAATTTAAAAAATCAAAAAGGGAAAGTATGTAACAGCTCTATTGTACAGTATGTGTCATTGTGTCAATTGCTCCTCGTTAATATCCGTAAGTTGTTTTCAATAACCAAGGTCTATTTTCTTAGTTGTGTTTTTGAATTAAGAATAAGCGTCTTGCTGTATTTATATAATTCTCTAGTGCAGCATTTCTCAAATTGTGGTACCTACACATACTATTACTGGTACGTGGAAGGCATAAGTTTAAAAACAATAATATATTTCAAATTTGTATTAATAAATTAATAACTTCGCCAGGCAAGTATTTTACTGCCTTTTTATTTAAAATAAATTTATTTAATTATGTAAAGTTTGCATGGGTCTATTTTTAATTATTAGTGGTATGTGATTGGTTGATAATATACTTGAGTGGCACGCAAAAAAAAATTTGAAAACCGCTGCACTAGCAACATTCTGCACTTTTCATAGGTACGCTAAAAGATATGACATTCTGCCCAATTTTGCTCCTTAATCTGATGATATACATTTATTAATAATTGATGACCTTGGGATTTATTGTTGATTGTTCATATTCATAGTGTCTGGCTTTGGGGAGCGCCTTTTATCCTGGTTTTTTTTTTTCGTATGGCGCTATGTCCGTGAGTAGGCATGAAGGCCTAGTTCGGACGCCTATTTGGAAGAATTTCTATTGRGGCACCCGTTGGTTTCTGCCATTCCCCGGAGTGGGGGATGGCGGCACTTGTTCTCCGGACACTGTGACTTGTCCGGAGAAAAATGTCGCCCGATGGTCGAGGATTGAACCCGGTCCGGCTGAGCCACAGCCGACGCATTAGACCGCTCGGCTACCTCATCCCCTATCCCATCCGTTTAAACCCTATTAAGTTGATAGAAATCAATGGATCTCGATATTTAATTTTAAATCAAATATTAATTAGCATTTTCTGGAATGTCTTAWGGGGGGCACTTGTCACTTTAAATTTTCAATATTTTTACCAACAACACAAGCGGCGCATATTCTTCACTGTTATTTTTTTATATTTTGCTGATGATATCAAACCCTTTATGCAAATCAATTCCAATGAACTGTTGATAAACTAGGTTTATCTTTAAATATCCATATGTAAGATTATGATTTTAACCAGAACTCCAACAACTCTCTTTTTATACCATCTGCAGAACACTGTAATTTTGCGTTGTAATGAAGTTATTATTYATCTTTACTRCAATTGMCGACAGTACAAATAAATAAATAATAGTAATATGAAGACAACACAGTTCTGAGATATGTTAATGGGCTTAATGGTTTAGTTTTTTGATCGAGAGTTGCCTAMTGTTRTTTTAAAAGATAAAATCAAATATCCATCTTAAAAGAGTTCAAATGCTAAACTAGTAATTACTTATAACTAAGATTAGGTTATACTACATTCGTTTTGGTTTTTGAACAGGAAGGAAAAAAAAAAAGGTTATACTACTTTATATAATATAATTTATAATTACTTAATGAAGGTTGGAATATAAAAATTATATATTATATATTTATTTTAAGTCGCAATAAAAATAATACAATAAGAATAATGAAAGTAAAAAAAATAACAATGTGTTATAAAAACATTAACAAATACATATAAAATTATCAATTTTGATGTTATGAATCGGTAAACTCAGGTCTATCAGATCAAGGTAACGACCAGATGTGCTCTATAATCATATTTTAGAATTATTTTCCATTAATAAATCTGAAAAAAAAATACATTTATTTTTACAAATACAGCATCTTTTGTAAGATACCTGCTGGTTGTAGCAGGAAATACTGACTTATGGTAAGAGAAATCATCCTGGGAGTGAATTTTGCGCACATGTTTAGTCAAATTGCTCTGGCTATTTGATGAATGGTTACAGAATGGACAACAATATGGTTTGCAACGTGAGTGTATGATAGTATGTCTCTTGAGCAGTGTCAGTGTTTTAAATGATTTGTCACAAATTTGACATGGGTGTACAGGTTCATTGTGTACAGTATTTTGGTGTGTAATCAAACGGCTCTTGATAGCAAACATTGAACCACATTCTTCACACCTTCAAAAAAAAATATTATTCATYAGAAGTCAATTCAATCCATAGGCATGCGYAGACTTTATTCACAGAGTATGTGGYTGATAAAATATGACCCTCTACAATAGATACAAAATATAAATAATCCTAAAATTAATATGCATTTTTATTAGAATAAAATTAGGTTTTAAATTTKTTTTTTATTAGTTGAGAAGCATTTTTTTATAAACATGTTCATTGAAATGCAAATTTACATTATACATAATTGTTATAATTCAAGCCTTCTCTCTCCTGGTATAAGGACTTTAAACTCTTCAATCACATCTTCTGTGTCAATTTCAATAGAATTTAGATGTTCTATGAATATCAACATTAATTCATCCAGACACTTTTGGGTTATCACTGCAATTTGATTACAAAAGCWTGGTAAAGATATTTTTATTAGTGTTCACTGGTGAGTCACGCTGGCGATCACACATTAGCCCAGAATAGATTAAATTAATTTTAGGATCAACTATTCAACTATCATAATAAGCATAAGACTTTTCAGTATTTAGACATTGTAAGGTTAAAGACATAATCATCGTCATTTATAGGAAAATATAAAATATAAATAGTAAATAAAGTAAAAACTGTAATTGGAATTTATTTCCATAATAAAAAAATATTATTATTATTATACACCATGCGCATGCCTATGATTCAATCATTGAGTAAATAAAAAGATTTTTAAATACATTATTTCATAAAATGAAACTTCGTGATAAATGTAATAAACTAATAAACAATTGTTAAGATTAGACAAATGTAAAAATAAATATTTGAGTCATTTATTGTAATTAGTGTTACCTATCTCATAAAACAACATAAGAGGACTATACCAACAAAGGTGTCTACCATTTTTTACGTCTTATAAGAATATAACATAACAAATTGGTGTTATAGTTAAGTTGGACATTGAAATACTCACATATAAGATTTAGCTTTGTCGTGAGTATACGAATGTACATTCATATCATGTTTTGAAGCACTCACATGGTAACAAACGGAGCAGACAAATTTTGCTTCTAAGTGATCACAGTGTTTCAATTTTCTATGACGTTTCAATGAATCATACAAAAACGTTGTATATGTGCACTATAATACAAACAAACAGACACATAAATTATTAGTAATATATGATTAATATTTTAGCTAATAAGTTTATTTATCAAAAGTAATACTTTTAAATATGAAAAATAAAGGTATAAATGCCTTATAAATTACCAATGTACATGAATATTGTTGTTTTTTTGTGTGACTAGCATTCACATGTCGCTCTAGATTGTATTTATCAAAAAATTTTCGCTCACAATAACTACAGAAATAGTCGCACACTCCCATGTGACGTTTTAGATGTTTTTTCAAATCAGATTTTCTAGGAGTTTGGTACTTGCAGTCTGCACATTTGTAAATATTTTGTCTTTTTACAGCTATGTAAAATTAAATACAATACAAGATTGTAAAATAAGTTTAAATAAAGTATAATCTGGTGCATTGTCTTACAAAGTGATTTATTTTCACTGCATAATGCTTTAAAATTATCAAACGCCTTGCAATTTGTTTTTCTTTTACCAAATTCTTCTTCATTAAAGTTTCTAAAAAATACATAAAAATTAACAAGGGCAAACAAAATACATGATAGATCATRATAAATATACTTGCATACATTTTAGTTAAGTTGTTCTYAGACTGTATCACTTCTTGAATGGTAGAATCACTGTCATTGATTTTACACATACATTCCTGCAGTACTATATAAATTTTTTCAAGTGTTGATTTTTTCAATAAGGCTGTAGTCTGAACACATAAGATATTTTCAAAAGTCTGTCTACACTAAAATTTTAAATAGCCAAAATTATTATATAAGGTATACAAAGTTTCGAGTGTTCAATAATATGTATTTGTGGATTAAGGGACACAATGTACTCATTGTCAGCATCAGATAGGTTATTTAAATAATGTCATATACTTGCAAAGTAGTTAAGTGGAGGCCTAATAATAATTGTTAAAATGTAGGTGATAAATTTTGATTGTGTCTATTTCTATATATATTGTCATTTTATTTTATAATAGGATTCTTTAATATGAATTCAGAACTGACCATTCCACATTACTAGTTATCACTATATACAAAATKTATCATCTTTAAATCTCCTTCACACACAAAAAAAATAAAAGTTTAATATACTGGTGTGTTTTGAGRTGCAGCACAAGCATTGGTAAAAGTTTGGTATCAAACCCTTATTTTTAAAATTAATATCTATCCCTCCCACTTAGTACTAGATCATATTCAAATCTTACCTATAGAAGAAAGATACTAAGCTGAAGTTTAGAATTATCTGATTTAAGTTAGTATTTCTCAAAATGCTGTTCCAGCCTCATTGTTCTCCAACATAATATTTACTCTGATTATTCAATCACTTTCTATATTATACAACAAGAGGCTTTATTGAAAAATAATCTATTCTTGCTCATTATTCTGATCCTTTAATGGCCTCAAACATGATACTAAGGCATTTCTTCCATCAATGTAGTGTAAAGACTAGGGGATCAAAATACTTAAATTTAGATCGTAGATGACATAGTCAACCCACCTACACACTGAACGTCTTGCTTTGGATAACCACTCTCCATAATTATGACTATCAATAAACATCTCTACTACTAAAACCATTGCAATCTACTTGTCCTCAAACTATCTATTCTTACCATTCCAGATGACCTAATTGGAATTAGTTTAACATATAATTTGAATGAAAATGAATATACCATTACATAAAGTTCCATCAACGGATGGATTCTTCATTCCGCACCAATTGAACCCGGGTGATAGTAAAAATTTAACTTGCATATTGTGAAATTAATTTATAATTAACAAAAAAAGAATTGTATTATCTACTGTAAAATATATACATCAATTAATGAAATAAGTAATGGGTACTATTTAACATTTACACCATAAAAAAATGTTGCAGGAAGAAAACCAAGATGGGGTTAGTAGATACTTAATAAAAGAATATCGTGATTTTATGGCACATTGGTTTTAATATATTTTACATCAAATTAAAATTTACAATTACAATTTAAAACACTTAAGGGATTGAATATTGATACAGTWAGTGGCACACACACTATCGCACACACATACTGTCCGAACACTAGTTGACGGAAGACTGAAAACAATACAGGCTGACACACTGATGCYTAGCCAGTAGCTACGTATCACGATAACGTTAGATAAGATAATATTATATTACAACAATGTAGTAAGATGGTAATCATTTTTTCTGTTAGTTTGAATAATAATAATAAAAATTAAATCATTAGGTAGGACTAAAACTGGATTGAAGTAATAAAAATGCTTATTTATAGGAACTAAAGTTAAATGGGTCACAAATTAACAAACTAAAAAATAAAAAAAATTGTATGACAACAATGGGGCTTAAATGATAATTARGTACATCAATTGAACAAATGTGTATATAACTTGTTTGTAATATTATAATTTATTTTTTTGATTTATTAACTTATACTACTTTTAATATTGAATATTACAGCTTGACAATTATATTAATATTATAATTAAATTGTAAATAATAATTTATGCTTAATTTTTTTTTTTTTTTTTTTTACGTTTAAAAATATCCAGATGAAACACAAAATTCACAGGATCTAAAAATAAGGAAAAATGGAATAACAAAAGATTGATATTTACTTGTAACACTGAATCTTCTAACACTTGTGAATCATAAGTATTATCACTGCACTTAGCCATTTGTGTAGTCATCAATTGTAATATATTTTTATTCGCTACCTACACTAGAACTACTCAATAACAATGAGATCAAAATTTGAGTGGTGTAGGTATGGTGTGAAATATTGTCTTCACGAATTTATTAAAAAAAAATTAAAAATGAAAATACTATGTGTATGCGAGACCGTACATCTATATTCGACAGGACATGCTCAATCTAACCAGTTGAACGTTGAACAGTGGTTATTATGCCAGATAGAAAACTAGATAAAATGAAAAAAAAACTTTCATAAAAAATTTAAGCGATTGTTAATTTTGTATAWTTGAGAGAGAGGGTGATGAAGATCACATAATATATATATACCTAGATATCTATGATAATAATATTATAGTATTATATATTTATATTTTAGATATAAAATTCGTATTTTATATTTATGTATGTATATTTGATGATACATGTCCAGGCTTTCCAGCATCCATTGGCTTGTTATCACATTTACAACATAAAATTGATAAGCTGCAGTAATGCAAGTGTTATCAGTAAACAGATATATTATCATTAATATTTTTAATGCAATTATGCAATTATTATAATTTTTTCTTTAAAGGTCACCAATCGCCACACTGCAGCGGTGGCGGTAAAATTGAGTCCGGCTTCATTTTGCCGTAACCGCCGCCGCCACAGTCGTGTGTGGCGACCTTAAATCTGTTTAATCCTTTGGTTCAATGGTTGAAACCACATCTGCTTCCATCTGTCCACATCTTATGATAATTTCTCTCTGACCCTCTCGGGTCTCGTATTCAAATCTTAGGCGTTCTCTAATAAGTTCGTTTCAAATTTGTACATTCACCTTTGTTTTGAGACGATCTGCTTAATGTCTATAAAGTGATTTTTTACCGTAGGATATAGGGTCCATTTTAAGATCTTTTTCATTAAACCATTTGATCTCCATAAGGCATAAGTAACTAGTCAAAGCAATTATTTTATATTGTAATACTACTATTACTACTTCTTTTACTATATTGGCAAATACTATAAAATATAAATGACAAAAAAATAAAATAAAAAATAATCATTTTTTTTAAGACACACTTTTCTAAAAAAAAAATTATATTAAAAAAAATAATGAAAAATGTACTGATGAAAAATTTAAGTGTGTGGTGCATCATACAAAACATTTAAAGTCAAGCTAAGTCTCACATACACTTCTTTGTTCAATTCTGTTTATAAGATAGTGACTGGGAGTATATGTCAAGTGTAAGAGTACCACAAACTTTTTCGTTATTTTTAAAAAAAATTTTTTAAATGTTTTTTTAGAAAAGTGTGCTTAAAAATTTTTTTTTTAATTATTTAGTTAAATTTACTTTTTAGTTAAAAGTAAATTTGTTTATTAAACGTTTAAAAAGAAAGAAGCACACAGCAGAAACGGGGTTTTTACGGTGACGTCGTGAGGTCAATCCGTTGCTATACGGGGATCTGCAGCTTGAGCTGTACAGTCTTATTCTGCTGTACCACTGCAGAATCCGTGTAGGGGAGATGCCGGGAGTTCCTCTGCAACGCTGATTTTTTCGGCAAGTAATGGTTAGATTAACCCGCCTTGACCCAGAGAAACCCTTCGTACCTTTACTTCATCGGAGATGACTTTGTACACCCGTCATCGCCTACCTGGAGGCCTGTGTCCAAAAATGACAACGGATTATTGTATTATCATCCAAGACCAAGGTCTATACCAATTTTCAGAATTTTTCATCGTCAAAAAGTGCTTCAAATCGAGCGCGCAAGATTTGATTACAGACAAACAAACAGACGTGAAAGCGACAAAAATAAAATAAAATAAAAGAGTCAAAAATCGCGACAAAAGTATGCCCTCTGATAAATTAACTAACGCGCTCTAGGATTGTAATTTGTAATATTCAGTTATATAGGTAACAGAAAAATTTGATCAGCTGTAAAATACCATGAATTAAGATATTAATATAATATATTAATATTAATATCTTAATTCGTGTAAAATACTAAATACATATTAGTATATTACATAATAATATGTTTATATTTATAACAGTTATTATATTATACAAATATTCATATTGCATACAAGTACAATAGGTTGTTACCATAGAATAAGAATATTATGGTATGTTATGATTTTTACATAATTATTATTCACATTATTTTATTTTTATTTTTCGTTTGTTTTTAAATTGGTGTATCGTTAAATTTTTTTATAAAATAATTGATAGTTGCATTCAAAATTTTATCAAT